TCTGTCTATCTGTCTATCTATCTATCTGTCTGTCTGTCTGTCTCTCTCTCTGTCTGTCTGTCTGTCTGTCTGGGCTGTACAGTGCGACATATATGTCTGTGCGCATATACACATGAAGCGCGCGCACACCGCACACTAAAACAGCGCCTGATTACTAGACGAAGTTGTCTTTCACATCTGATTGATTTTTCATCTAATACTGTCAAAAACACACAAGGTTTACATTTAAACACAGTTGGTTGTCTAAAATGAAAGTAAACAGTCGAGAGAGAAACGCGTGCAGCTCTTAAAGTGACAGTAGCCTACTAAACATGCTGCCGCTTGTCATTAAAGGTCCCCTGAAATGCTTAGAAACACGCAGAGTTACCTTATGTGTTGACGTCATTTTAACTGAAACAGGAAGACAGGGCGGGACATATCAAGCAGCCCCGCCCCTTTTTAAAATAGCCAATAGCATTAGTTTATATCACAGCTTGGGCTAGAGCCGTTCAGAGCCGTTGAGCTCCGTAAAGCCGCATTTGACAGATTATGCCAGGCAGCCACAATCTCATCCATATTGCATTCTGTGTAGAATTCAAATAGCTCCGATACATTTTGTGGTCTGCGCCGACTCGCGCATGTGATCCGCTCCGTGCTATCGTGTCTCTGGACCGGAGCAGAGTGTGTGTGCGGTGCGGTGGTTAGCGTGACACAGCGCGAAACTAGACTTCTTTTTTTCCTCAATGGAAAGCATATTTACACTGTTTGAATCGTTCCCTGTCCCCTATATAGTGCACTACGTGCCATTCACTGTACAGAAAATACTAATTCTGTGGACAAGTGACCGATTTCAGCCGCGGCTTCAGCGTCTATTTTATAGTGTAGGGGGCGGGCGCTTCGGATTCTAGAGAGCATTTGATTGGACAGAAAGTTTGATGAGAAGCTGAAGTACGATGTGACGTCAAAAAAATCGTTGAGCCGTTTTGGCAGAAGTGACGAACTGCAAGCTTTGAATGCTTCTATATCTTCTAAATGCGAATTTTGTCACTGTTTTGGAGCACACTGCCTTATAGATAACCTTAAGACTAACACTGATACTAACACCCAAAAAACTTTCATTTTGATTTCATGGGGACTTTAAAGTCTGCTAAATTGGGACAACTAATTTTGTACTTCATATACATTAATTGTGCTGTAGTCGCACTAAAGGTATAATGAAGTATATTTGATTGTGCTAAAGTGGAACTATTGCAAATATACTTTAAGTGCACTTTAAATATCTTGCATTTAAAGACTGGTATTATTCATACAGTCCTCATCAAAAGTGACATTAAAACACATTTTAGGCTTAATATTAAGAAATGTGCATTGTGCACAAGTAGTACTCCAAATAAAGTTTAACTATAATTTATCAATAATCAATAAGTCTCAAGCGATATGTCAGTAAATATGTTAACACATTTGAACTATACTTAGAATGAAATAAATGTATTTTAAATATATTACTTTTCTACTAGGGCAGTCACTATGTTACCGAGTATTCTGGTTCCTCTAAACTCACCTCTCTTGGGGGTTTTACTGCCTGGAATATGAAACAGTTAAACCGCATTACTACACTCGACATGGCACCTATCAATAACACATCCAGGTCATGTTTCTTGCCATTTTCAAAAGAATAAAAATAAGAAATTATATTTTGCATAAAAAAAGGCTATATTTTTATATAATTTCAATATTATTTTGGGGGGAGGGTTTTTTGTCACATTATTTTTTATTACATTAAAACACATTTACCCCTATTTTTAATGTCTCGTATGCTACTTATTTAATCAAAAATATATATTAAAACACAGTAATATTGTGAAATGTTATCATAATTTAAAATAACTGTTTTCTATAAATGTAATTCATTTATGTGATGCAAAGCTGAATTTTCAGCATTATTACTCCAGTCTTTCAGAAATCATTCTAATTTGCTGATTTGGTGATATATACGTACTTTACATTTTTTTCAGGATTATTTTATATAAGTTATATATATTTATTATAATAATTATATATATATTTCTTATAATATTATATAAGAAAGTTCAAAAGAACAGGATTTATTTGAAACAATTTGTTGTAAGAATGTCAAAGTCTTTACTCTCATCTTTGATCAGTTTAATGCATCCTTGCGAAATGAAAACCTTCATTTCTTAAAAAAAAATCTTATTGATCCTAAACTTTCAGTGGTGTATGTTCATAATAAAAAAAATAAAATAGCATTATTGTAAGTAAATAAATAAATAAAATAAAAATACCTTGTCCAGATAGGTGGGGAAAAATGTACTTTATTGTCATGAAAATAATGTGACAATGCAAGAAAACTTAATTTCATTATGCAAAATGCAATGTCTTTTTCCCCTCTTGATTTTGGAGTGAAATATGACCAGGAGATTTCATTTGTGACATTCATCCATTCTATATATTCAATACATTCTATGCATTCACCCAGCATATATTTAGTATTTCTATTAATATTACCACACAATGTCAAAGAATACCATCAGATTGAGCATGTCAAATATACTTTTCTAAGAAATAATATTACTCCACAGCACTAATGAAGGTTTCAAGAACGTGTGACAGAATGAGGCTGCCTGATCACAAAGCAATAGGCTCATTTCAGCTGCTAGAGTTCAGAATCGCTGCCGGGGAACAATTATAAAAAGCTGCATGGATCTCCAGCCTCAGGGGAATAATGCATTAAAGTGTGATGTATCTTACCAGAAGCCCCAGATTTCAAGTAGGAGTCTGCAGCTTGTTTCAGAGTCCGGAACGTGGTTTCATACTGCTCAAAGAACTTATGGCCTTCAATGAATGCCTGTGTGTAAAACAGGACAGTAATGGGAAGATGTTTCATAACATGTCAGCTGAATCAGTTTTTATAAAGCAGATTAAAAGAGTTTATTAAATACGCTGGAGGACGTACAATATAATTTTGCAGAAGAAGCTCCACTGAGTCCCGACGGCCGTATTTAATGATCCAGGATTTGAGCTTTGACTCGGCCAGCATGAGAAACGCCATGAGGCGGTACTTCATCTCCCAGAACTCATTCTTAATCAGATGGACGTGAGACGACGTGGACACAAAATGAAAGCTGCGGAAACATGACATATTAGTAAATATAGCAGTAACTCATGGGATTTGGGATTTTGAGCTCATAGCTTCTATAATTACAGTCTATAACGTCAACAGTAAAGTTAATATAAAAGAATAATCTATTCATAAATGTTGCTGGTCTTATTCTGCATGATTTATGATTATTAGCTTGTTCTCCTCAAAATTTAATAATCTCTGAAAAGACTTTCTTTTCTATGGATGTAACCACGTTCATATGCATCAGAAAAATAATATTAAAATAATATTGTACGATTTGTACATTTTATAAAACTCGACGACATGATGCTAGATTGTTCTGGGTGGTTGCTAGGGTATTACTATTTGGTTGCTAGGGGTGTTTGATAGGATGTTGCTATGTGGTTGCGTGGGGCGTTCTGGGTGGTTGCTAGGGTGTTGCTATGTGGTTGCCTGGAGTGTTTTGAGTGGTTGCTAGTGTGTTGCTCTAAGGTTGTCTGGGGTGTGCTGGGTGGTTGCTAGGGTGTTGCTATGTGATTGCCTGGGGTGTTCTGGGTGGTTGCTAGGGTGTTGCTATGTGACTGTCTGGGGTGTGTTGGGTGGTTGCTAGGGTGTTGCAATGTGGTTGCCTGGGGTGTTCTGGGTGGTTTCTAGGGTGTTGCTATGTGACTATTTGGGGTGTTCTGGGTGGTTGCTAGGGTGTTGCAATGTGGTTGCCTGGGGTGTTCTGGGTGGTTTCTAGGGTGTTGCTATGTGACTATTTGGGGTGTTCTGGGTGGTTGCTAGGGTGTTGCAATGTGGTTGCCTGGGGTGTTCTGGGTGGTTTCTAGGGTGTTGCTATGTGACTATTTGGGGTGTTCTGGGTGGTTGCTAGGGTGTTGCAATGTGGTTGCCTGGGGTGTTCTGGGTGGTTTCTAGGGTGTTGCTATGTGACTGTCTGGGGTGTTCTAGGTGGTTGCTAGGACACTGCTATGTGATGTGCCTGGGGCGTTCTGGGTGGCTGCTAGGGCGTTGCTATGTCATTGTCTGGTGTTGCTATGTGGTTTTCCTAGGTGTTCTGGGTGGTTGCTAGGGTGTTGCTATGTGATTGTCTGGGGTGCTCTGGGTGGTTGCTAGGGTGTTGCTATGTGATTGTCTGGGGCGTTCTGGGTGATTGCTAGGGTGTTGCTATGTGATTGTCTGGGGTGGTCTAGGTAGTTGCTAAGTTGTTCTGGGGTGCGTTTTCCAAAAGCATCATTATCTAACTATGGTCGTTAGTTCCATTGTACTCGATTGGTAACGACGGAACTTGCGACCATAGTTGTTGTTGGGAAACGCACCCCTGGATGGTTGCTAGGTGACTCAAGTCAGTCATTTGATGGCTCTAAATATGGCTAAGTTCGTCATCCATTCAAGTCTATAGCACGAACAGTGCAGTTGTTTAATACTTTAAATTGCCATTGTTATGTACCGTATGTGATTGTACATTACATAACATACATTAAATGCATTGCAAATGCCATTTCATGTCACCTTTAAACAGTTAAATGAAACTTAAGGTCATCAGATTTAACCTTTCTGCCATGTCCTGAAGCTGCTCTGGTGGAACTGGGACGCCGTTTACTGATCGGTCTCTGTGAATCTGTTGAAATGTCTGTCGGTGTCCCTCCAAATTCTTCAAAACCTCCTGCACAGAAAGCACAGACATTGTTTTTAATTTTAGCAGCACAGTGATCAGAGCAATTCCCTTATGAAAGAAAAAAAAGTTCTTGTCCCTACCTTGTGCTGTTCCAGTTTTCTGTGGATGATGTTGGCCGTCTCTTCATGGGCCTGTTGAATGGGTATGTCCTCTCTCAGGGAAAGTTCTGCCCGATGCAGCCAGGCTCCGATCACTCCCAGAGGGCCCGGCAAAGACTTATCCAGATGGATGTGCCAGTCTAAGAGCTGCGCAAGCCACACAAAAGCATCGCAAATATCAAAAGGAGAGATCTGTTTTGAAAGCCGTTCGCTGTCTGTGAGGACCCTTCAAGCTGTCAAGTGTCTAGCCAGATTGCAGTGTCCGCTCTGTGGACTTCTCTGTTCCATTAAACAAAACCGTCTCTGTGTGTCTGTCCTCTTTCATCAGTAATGAACCCTGTATCTGTGGTCTACGCTCCAATTCACACTTCATTACAGCTAATGACAGCTAGAGAAGCACAGCAGTAACAGTTCAGAGTTAAACTCTGAAGTAAAAGCTATTTTCAAACATAATCAACATAATAGTGGACTGGTGTACAAAAAAGACAAATATATTTGCAATCTCCAGCTTAATTTGAAGTATTAATTTGCCTAAATGAATCCACTAGAAGTTCTATATGTTCTAAAATGAATATACGAGAAGTTCTAAAATGAATATACAAGTTATATGGCACACACAACAACAACGAAGCCATTTAGTATCACGGACAAAACTTGAGATTATACAAGAGCTGCAGTGATGAGGAATATCAATCTGTTCCTCACACAAAGCTATCATAAAGTCTTAGAATATAGAGCACAAGCCTACTATAGACTACTATACTTTTTCTGTCATTTTCGGTGCATAATGTTGTCTATTCATTTTCATTGCATAAAAATAGCATGAAACATCTCTTTACATTCCATAGAAAAAACAAGCATGTTAATTACATTTGGTGAAGCACGTACCCTGACAGACACATGATCCCAGGCCTGTTTGACCACGGCCTGGTCCACGGACAGCTTGCCATCCTTGTGTACCGGCTGCAGGAGAGACTCGATCTGTTTCTTTCTCATCTCATACTGCACACGGAAACTCTTAAAAGCCTGCAGTCAAAAAAGAAGAATGGAGGAGAAATAATTACATCTGACCTGATAGCAAACTCACAACTCATTTCAAATGCAAAGAGTTTAGCCAATCATAACAGAGCTCATTTGCATATTGAAATCTTAAAAGCAGCCTAAAGATCATGGAAAACTGTCTTGTTCACCTGATATCTGTCGGTGAGACTCTCTTCAGATCCCTGTGCACGCAGTATATCTCTCTCTAGCTGATCCAGCCAGATCTTCACCTCCCTTAGCACCTTGCGTTCCTCTCGCTGTGCACATCAGACAGAAAGAAACAATGATTTATCACTTGCTTAGCAGGTATTCAGCAAGAAACCCTTGTAACAAGAACCCAAAGCAGGTAACACAGCAGTGTGAAACAATGAAAAAGAAGAGAGAGTCCAATCCCAAAGAAGAGTGAAGAAGATCTCCACTATTTTGTAGTTTGTTACACATAATACGGAGCTGTTATGACCCTATGTATTAATATACACATACCTCAAGCATTAGCTCTATATCTTGTGGATCATACTGTCCAGGAGAGCAAAGGCACATCAAGAGATGCAAACACAACACATTCAAGACGTTAGCAAGATAAAAGCCAGAGAAAGAGAGGAAACAAGTAGAGTATCCACCACCGCCAGGCCATTCTCAGCAAGCGGTGACATTTGTGTTACAATTGTCTTCAGAAAATAATAATCACATAATTAACAAGATTTTAGTGTAGTTAAGTGTATACCGCAAAACAAAATTTTAAATAGTTTGTTTTTATTTTGAAATGTTTGCTTTTCATCTGTCAATGTACAGTATATTTGCTTATTTTCCATTTGATTTAGAATTTAAAAAAATCTACCATAACTTTATTTAAAAACAAAATGATTATGCTTCCACTGCCTATATGTAAATATCAATACGTATAAATAAAAATATTTGTTGTTCATGCACTTTATGTTCTTATGCTGCGGCATTTCTCCCTTTAACAAAAAATACATTTTAAAAAGTAAACAATGTGTGTGCTATGCAATGATGTTTTCTGACTGAAACGTATTTAATATAAATACTATTATAAATGTTTGCACAGATCTTTAACCCAGACAAAATCGGTTTTGAATGAGCAGTATCATGGGATATTCATATTATTTTCAATTATACAATGTGATTTATTGATAACTACTCAAAGAATTTATATGATCAATTATTCATTATATTTTATTATAAGCATATGTATGTTTCTGTAATTTACAAAGTTACGGTAACTATGTTGTAATAATGTTTCCTAAACTTTTCTAGCACATATGGCATCGTTTCTTGAGAATGTCCCATGCACTAAATGAACCTCATGCAGATGAGACATAATCGACTCTTACCTGTAGAGCTGGGATAGAGAGAGCGAACGTAGGAATGGAACGAACCAGCTACGAATGCGCATGGCGAGTGATACAGACACAGAGACAGAGTGAGCACACAGAGCAATGCACTATGGGTGTGATTCTAGAGTAAAATGATTCTTGAATGGATTCCACATTGTGATGGACTACAGTAATGGTTAGTGACTGATGAGGAAGCACTACAGCAGTGACTGCATTAAATAACAACAGCAAGCAGCTAGTGTATTTTTAGCTTATACATGAGCATAAGCACTAAAGCGTACCTCCTCTTGCTGTCCATCTGTCTCGGACTGGTGGGGATCTGGATAGTGCTTCAGGAACTGAGCTACGTATGTCATTATGGACTTCTCATCAGGCTTGTCCACATCTACATCTGCAATAAAACAAAGTTATAGATTTGAACCCCACAAGTGGAAATCCTTGAGATATTACCATTGTGCTGTTTATGTATCTATGCATGCATTTAGTTTTTGTTTGAGTTTTACCGTGCATCATCAGGTGACTGTCATATTAGATGATCCACTGACCTAAAGAGCCAAATGAGGCTTTTTATAGCCTCTTCAAAGGGCTTCTGCCATATCACATCATGATGTCATGCTAGCCTCTGTCTGATCTGGCCTGATGACATGCTTGAATAGCAGCATGACCTACAAACTATAACAGCGTCCGTCTATAATGAGGCTTGATAATGGTGGATCTCCAGTATAATTAAGCAGTGTCTATTCAAATCAAACTCAAAACAAATGAGTGGCTCTTCAAAAGCACAACAGATCATTGACAGAATCTACATTATTAACCACACAACATTAGTATTGGCGATACATTCATGGTATTAGATGGTTATACCACATATTATAAAACGGACAGTTCCGGGCCTTGATTCTGATTGGTTGAGCCACGTTCGAAGCTGTTGTAAATTACTCTACAAACATACACCTTTGTTTACTTTGTGTGTTGCTTGGCAACCACTTTATTGCAACCACAACTGTTTCTGAGGAGCTACATTGTTTGGTGGAAGAATACTGTTTTTATTTATATCATTACACTTTATTTGCTCTGTTTTATTTTGTGAAACCTTACTATATATATGGAATAACCGTTTTATAAAAGCAATAATCCCCGTGAAGGCGACTCCGCTTCGCGTCGTACCTAACAACGCCCCTTAGCGGTTATAAATTCACTGTAAACCACGGCTTCTTGGGGCTTATTGCTTTACTATACTACTATACACTATACTTTTACTATAATTATTATATTATTACAGTTTTTATTAATATTGTAAATTAGTTTTGTTTTTATATTTCATCTTAATTTTAGTTAAAGCTTTAGTAATTTTGTTGTGTTTTTGTCATTTTTATTAGTTTGTTTTTTTTCTTTATATATGTCTATATATTTTTATACATTTTAGTTTAAGTTTTAGTTAATTTACTACATCAAGTTAAACTAAATGAAAATTATTAATGTTGCCTTGGCAGCCAGCTGAAATAATAAAAGTTTATTAATAATAAAAAAGTTAATAAAAAAGTTTTTTTTTTCACTTCAGTTAATGTTGGCTTTATTTCAAGTAACAATTTTTTTTATAGTTTTAGTTTTATTATACCATGGTACCTGCGTGGTAATCAAAGGTAATTTAAAAGAATGCCATTATATTAACATTGTACATATCTAAAAAACATGGAATTCTCAAAGAACCATTTGCAAAAACTATAATAACACCATGGTGCTATTTTGTAAGTCGACATGGCTTATCTCAAGGGAAATTGAAGAGATTTTGGAGTAAAATAAGCCGTATCATTACCTTCAGGATCTAGTAAACGTGGTATTCCCAGTTCGTTCTCTGCCACGCTGAAAGCCTCTTCAAGGTTCTCACGATTACTTCTTTTTCTCACTATGTCCATGTCCACAAGGTCTGGCCGAATGGCATGAATAACAGAATGGAAGGCCAAACCGCTGCGCCAACTAGGACCAAAGTCTTTAACTTCAATCCCAAGACGCCTCGAGAGAAGAAATAACATCTCATTAGAAGACTTACTGACAAATTAGGCCGGTTTTTATACACAATTCTTGTTGGTTGGCATATCCATTTCAAATGATAAATTTAAACCCTCGATTAGGCCTGGGCGATAAAACGGTATCGATATTTATCGACGGTTGGAACGAACCAGCTACGAATGCGCATGGCGAGTGATACAGACACAGAGACAGAGTGAGCACACAGAGCAATGCACTATGGGTGTGATTCTAGAGTAAAATGATTCTTGAATGGATTCCACATTGTGATGGACTACAGTAATGGTTAGTGACTGATGAGGAAGCACTACAGCAGTGACTGCATTAAATAACAACAGCAAGCAGCTAGTGTATTTTTAGCTTATACATGAGCATAAGCACTAAAGCGTACCTCCTCTTGCTGTCCATCTGTCTCGGACTGGTGGGGATCTGGATAGTGCTTCAGGAACTGAGCTACGTATGTCATTATGGACTTCTCATCAGGCTTGTCCACATCTACATCTGCAATAAAACAAAGTTATAGATTTGAACCCCACAAGTGGAAATCCTTGAGATATTACCATTGTGCTGTTTATGTATCTATGCATGCATTTAGTTTTTGTTTGAGTTTTACCGTGCATCATCAGGTGACTGTCATATTAGATGATCCACTGACCTAAAGAGCCAAATGAGGCTTTTTATAGCCTCTTCAAAGGGCTTCTGCCATATCACATCATGATGTCATGCTAGCCTCTGTCTGATCTGGCCTGATGACATGCTTGAATAGCAGCATGACCTACAAACTATAACAGCGTCCGTCTATAATGAGGCTTGATAATGGTGGATCTCCAGTATAATTAAGCAGTGTCTATTCAAATCAAACTCAAAACAAATGAGTGGCTCTTCAAAAGCACAACAGATCATTGACAGAATCTACATTATTAACCACACAACATTAGTATTGGCGATACATTCATGGTATTAGATGGTTATACCACATATTATAAAACGGACAGTTCCGGGCCTTGATTCTGATTGGTTGAGCCACGTTCGAAGCTGTTGTAAATTACTCTACAAACATACACCTTTGTTTACTTTGTGTGTTGCTTGGCAACCACTTTATTGCAACCACAACTGTTTCTGAGGAGCTACATTGTTTGGTGGAAGAATACTGTTTTTATTTATATCATTACACTTTATTTGCTCTGTTTTATTTTGTGAAACCTTACTATATATATGGAATAACCGTTTTATAAAAGCAATAATCCCCGTGAAGGCGACTCCGCTTCGCGTCGTACCTAACAACGCCCCTTAGCGGTTATAAATTCACTGTAAACCACGGCTTCTTGGGGCTTATTGCTTTACTATACTACTATACACTATACTTTTACTATAATTATTATATTATTACAGTTTTTATTAATATTGTAAATTAGTTTTGTTTTTATATTTCATCTTAATTTTAGTTAAAGCTTTAGTAATTTTGTTGTGTTTTTGTCATTTTTATTAGTTTGTTTTTTTTCTTTATATATGTCTATATATTTTTATACATTTTAGTTTAAGTTTTAGTTAATTTACTACATCAAGTTAAACTAAATGAAAATTATTAATGTTGCCTTGGCAGCCAGCTGAAATAATAAAAGTTTATTAATAATAAAAAAGTTAATAAAAAAGTTTTTTTTTTCACTTCAGTTAATGTTGGCTTTATTTCAAGTAACAATTTTTTTTATAGTTTTAGTTTTATTATACCATGGTACCTGCGTGGTAATCAAAGGTAATTTAAAAGAATGCCATTATATTAACATTGTACATATCTAAAAAACATGGAATTCTCAAAGAACCATTTGCAAAAACTATAATAACACCATGGTGCTATTTTGTAAGTCGACATGGCTTATCTCAAGGGAAATTGAAGAGATTTTGGAGTAAAATAAGCCGTATCATTACCTTCAGGATCTAGTAAACGTGGTATTCCCAGTTCGTTCTCTGCCACGCTGAAAGCCTCTTCAAGGTTCTCACGATTACTTCTTTTTCTCACTATGTCCATGTCCACAAGGTCTGGCCGAATGGCATGAATAACAGAATGGAAGGCCAAACCGCTGCGCCAACTAGGACCAAAGTCTTTAACTTCAATCCCAAGACGCCTCGAGAGAAGAAATAACATCTCATTAGAAGACTTACTGACAAATTAGGCCGGTTTTTATACACAATTCTTGTTGGTTGGCATATCCATTTCAAATGATAAATTTAAACCCTCGATTAGGCCTGGGCGATAAAACGGTATCGATATTTATCGACGGTACACCTTCTTCGATAACGATAGAAAAAATGTTCGATATAGGGCACGATATAGGCACGAGCTATGAGTGACGCAGACAGCACACACAAACATGAACACATGCTGAATTAAGTGCTGTGCCTGCCTGTGATGAGGAGACTGTAAATAAAGAATGAATATTAGTCGAATTTAAAATAAACAGTTGCATTTGAATGTTAGGTGTGCATCGGGGAGCGTCATCACAATGGCGCGTGAGATGCGGTGATAATGATGTAAGTATTAGTCTTTTGTTAGTCTAGACTCTAGCCCACGAGACGCGCCGCTGCTGCGTTATTCATTCAAAATATTAGAGAAATATAGAAGCTCAATGCGGAGATCTTGATAAGGTTAAAACCGAAACCAAGCCAAACACAGAACGCATTTTCAGCGCATTTTTTAGACGGACAGACTGCAGCACTCGCGTCTCACACAAGAGATGTATAGAAAGCCATGCAAAGTTAAAACAGTTTAAACTTTTAGAAAACACGTCACGAATTTGTGGATGTTTATTCTTTTTCACTGCATCTCATATGTTTTTAAATGCAATCTGTGTGATGGGCGCTTTGGCTCTTTGGATTAAGCAATGCATAAATACATGATGCTGTTTTGTTCATAATTGTTTATGCAATTTACAAAATGATATTAGATTTTTATGAGTTAATTTAGACGTAATGCAAGTTTTTTATAGAGTTACTTCCTAACGTTGACAATTTAAATGCGCTGCATTATTTTGCTCATTGCGCCCTCCTGTGGCCTCGGGAGACAAGACAAAAGTTTCCTTAAAACCTATTTAATCTGCATATAAAACATTAGAAATTAGATATTTGTTTAATTTTTATTTTGTGTTTGATTGTTAAAACCAAAAAATATTTGTTGTTTGTCTCAATAAATTGGGTTCATTTAAAAATACAGTGGTTAAATTAAAAAAAAAAAATTCTATTGCTCTGTTTTAAAAAAAGTTATAAAAAATGTCAATAATTATCGATACCGAACTATATAAAACATTATATCGTTGATACATTTTTTAGCTATATCGCCCAGCCCTACCCTCGATAGAGCTCGTATTTACTTGGTTGCTGTGCTTTGGACCCATCTGAGCATGGCTTTTTTGGCATTGCCCTGAAACTTTGTCATCCCTTTGCGTTTCATAGGTGGGCTTCCCGTCTCCGAGCTGGCCATGCTGTCCACTGAAGATGCACTGCTGGATAAAGCCTGAAGGGCTGCAAGATTACTGGTCAACTCCTCAATCTGCAAAAGTTTCAGGGACAGATCCTTACAACCCAGATACACACAGACCTATTACAGTTTTCCAGATCCTACCATCATAATTGGCAAACATTACCTGGAAATAGAGGATAATGGTCCATATCAGCCCCAATACGATGGACGGGCGTCCATCAGCAATGTCAGTGGCATTGATATTGACTAGTTTGATCTGGAAAATAAATATTTCTCATGTTAGAAAGTCTAAATCATTTGAAAACATTAACGTAACAGACATTATCCACAGATCTGAGGTCAGTGCAAACAAGCCAGTCTAAACCAGCACTATGAATCGTGCAGAATAACACCAGGAACGTGCATTAAGAAAGTAAACAGGGTCTATTTTGACTTCATGTCGACTTGAATAAAAATAAGTAGCCAGACATATTCTCTTCTTAGGGAATAAGCAAATATGAATGCACAGAGTATATGAGGAACATGTGAGTGAATAGGAAAAAGCAATGTGCTCATGGTCAGCCAGTCACAGACATCATAAGAGATGCTGTAGAAAAAACAAGCTTTCTAAAAATAATTGCGGCTCTTTCAGCCAGTAGCAGCTACAGCAGAGATCAGTAAATAATGGAGTTGCTCGCTGCATACGGTACGCATCATCAAATGCAGATATGCATAACAAGAGGAGGTGTTTGAGAGAACTGTGACTAGGAGAAGTACTGACCGGAGAACCTCGGTACACAGACTGAGACAAGACATGTTAAGAGAGAGCACACAGTTAGAAATGAAGTATGATGACGGATGCCAGACTGGGGCATATGAACATATTCAATGATCAGATAAGACTACAGATATGGCTGGATCATTCTTATTGTGCAGTTCATTAAGCATCAGTTAAAAAAAATAAAAATAGGGGGTGGGGAAGTTAATACTTTTATTTAGCAAGGATGCAATAAATTGATCAAAAGTGACAGTAAAGACATTTCTAATGTTACAAAAGATTTCTATTTCAAATAAAAGCTGTTCTTTTACACTTTCTATTCATCAAATAATCCTAAGAACAAATAATGTATCATGGTTTCCACTAAAATATTAAGCAGCAGAACAATTTTCAATGATGATAATAATAAGACATGTTTCTTGAGCAGCAAATCAGCATATTAGAATGATTTCTGAAGGATCACGTGACACTGAAGACTGGAGTAATGATGCTGAAAATTCAGCTTTGCATCACAGGAATAAATTACAGTACAATATCAATTTTAAAATATATTCAAACAGAAAATAGTTATTTTAAATTGTAATAATTTTTCACATATTACTTCTTCTACTTTATTTTTTAATGCACCTTTAAGCATACAAAAAAATCCTTTTTTATAACTGAAATCAAATTAGTTTTTCTTTTATCTTAAATATTTTTACTTAATTTTATTTTTTTATATATATAATTTTTAAATCTATTTTAAAAAAATAAAATACCTATTAAATATAAAAACAATATATTATTGTAATTGGTGATCAGTTTATATGTTTTTCTTCCATATCATGTCTTGTATAAAAATCCCTATTTCTAAACGCAGCTTTAATGACATGGAAGTGACATACGTAACGTAAGTATTATCAATGCATTTAATTAATTCTTCCGGGATGTCACTCTAAAACATCTATCATAATTGATCAAATTGCACAAATCAGTTTAATTTTTCAAAAGAAGGAAAAATACGAAGTTCATTTTTAAGTTGACACCCTCATGTAAGCTCTCTGTCAATTCCTCACTGAGCAATTACTAACTTCCATCCTGTTCATTTCTTGTCCTTGTCTGAGCATATTTCTGACAGTCTGCTATATCCTTTTCTAGAAAGACTTCCAGAAATTACAGCGCAATCAAAAGCTAGAAAGGTACTGCAGAACAGGAATGACCCAGCAGGGAGTGTTATACAGAATATCCCCATATAATTAAGACAGATGAGCAGTTCAGTGAGACAGATGAGATAACCGGAGTGTTACCTTCCTTCCCTCCAGGAACTTAAGAGCTGTGCCGATGTTGGACACCCAGTGGATCCTTTTGAGTTGGCGGCCCTGTTCGCATGGCTGCGGGGAAGTACGAGGGGTTTATCAGGAGGGGAAATGAAAGGAAGGACTCTATCAAGCCCATCATCTTGGCATTAAACAGACTTTGCCACACCAGCTGCTGCTGCGCTCAATGCAGAGGTTTCACAGAGAGATAATCTGCAGATATTGCATCCCAGAAACACTTACTAATCTCTGTCCAGACAGCACCTCTAACAGAGCCAGCAGTTTCACCCCATCCTTGATGTCCTCAAAGAGGTCGTTGACTTCAAAAGGAGGTTTGTGCTGGAAAAGGACAAAAAGAAGAGGAATAAATGAACGGTCAACTTAATGAACCCTTATAGTGTGTTGGATGCTTCTGCTCTAATGTCTTCTACTTTATTATTCTCATTATACTTCATTCTTATTCTACCTTATAAGTTGCTTTAGATCATCTGATGAATAAATACATATAAATGCTTTTAGGTCATCAGAAATGCCTCTCTTCATTCCCAGAGGAATTTAAGTTTCTGGCTCAGAAAATGCTCTTTCATAGTTTGGGATACATGAAGCATAACAAGTTCTCACTAATGTTTACAGCAGATGTTTGTCTAAAAATGTGTTAGGAGAAATAAAATAATGATGCAATTTAATGAATAACTGATGTACAGTAAGAGTACAGAGCTATAAAGTTATTGTGGACAGCAGAAATAGAAATGTTTAAACAAGCATTGGTAAAGTGTCAGTTTATGAGGGGTCTTTATCTCTTCGAAATTTCATGATTATCTCTCCTCACCTAATTTTTCCGTCTCACATCACACTTGAAGTGCCACGCAGCATTCAAACTTGTGATCACAGAAAGACTGAAGCTACAATCTGTGCAGGCAGATGAAACTCTAGCGAAAATAAACTGTAAATGCAAATTTATTTTTCATGGTGAAGCAGTGAAATATTCACAGGGAAACACACAAAGGCAATATAAATGCTTTTTTATACAAATATGGTGATCGTTCAGTTTGATGCCAGTATGATTTTTTTTTTTTTAAAGAAATGATTACTTTCATTCAGCAAGGACACATTAAATTTAAAGTAAACGCATTTATAAAGTAACAAAAGGTTTCTATTTCAAATAAATGCTGTTTGAAATTCTACAGTATTTATCAAATACTGAAAAAAAATCCCGTTTCCACAAAAACATAAAGCAGCACAACTGTTTTCAACATAATAATAATAATAACATAACAACATAATAACATGATAATAAGAATTTTGTTCTTGAAAAGCATGTTACACTGAAGACTGGAGTAATGATGCTGATAATTCAGCTTTGCATCACTGGAATAAATTGCATTTGAAAATATATTCAAATAAAAAAGACTTGTTACTTTAAACTGTAATAATATTTTCCAATAATACTACCATTTTTACTGTACTTTTAATCAAATAAATGCAGTCTTGCGGAGTATAAGAATCATTAAAAAAAAAAACTGACCCCAAACTTTTGAATAGTACTGTATCAATGTAATATAGTACTACAATCTGGCACTTGCATCATTGTAAAGCTACTGTACCATGTTTGTAAGGACTAGAATTCAGTACATGATGCAGGTCTGAGTTTATTTTGAAAATCTCAGCTCAGCTGCTCCCGTTCAAACACCAAAAAAAAAGTGCAAATGCACAATTTTAAAGGAAATGGACACAATAGGAAAAGATAACAGATGTGTCAGATGTTGAACCAAAATAGACAGAACTTTCCATCACGCAAAAGCTTAATAAGTGAAGTGCAAAACACATTTGCTTTGTTCATGCTGACTGTTGATAAAGCTAAAAAATAAAGGAAGCGAGACATGTAAATCTAGATTTATTTCTATGGAACAAATGCAAAAATACTCAATAAAACAACAAAAAATAGCTGGACAGACAAGCCAACCAGCACACACACAGACAGCGAGGAAATCTGGAAGTATAGCGGGCATCTGCAGACTCATAAAGCATTACAAAGCATATTCTGCAGCTCAGTTAGTATGCACTGAGCGTGTGCTTTCTGTACGGACGCTGCTTCACTGCAGTGGACCCACTGGCTGCATACTTTACTCGGATTCTTCAAACTTTCATAGTTGTGTTGTGCAGCAGATTGTGTGGAACAAAAGGCCCCTCAGTGCAATCTGTGCTGACTGGAATACTTAAACCCACCATTTGTGTCAGATTATCCTCTCTTTGTGCACTGCAAAGTGCCCCGTCACCAAAGCAACTAATCACGCATAATGAGGCGAGTGGGAGGAGCAACAACACTCACAACAGCTCCACTTCAGCATGTGGGTCATTATACAAAACCATGTGATTTTAACAATGAACAGCTGATGTCATCATTTACTATGTGCTATTAAAGCATTTTCTTACCACATCAACAAAAGTATAGTGACTTCCTTCTATTTTCAAATGCTTTCTCTTTCTATTTCTTTAAGAGCATCTTTTTTGGCCTGTCCCAAAAACTGTTTCTTCTTTTCGCTGCATTAGCAAATGCACACTTTTTGTTAAGAAAAAATGGCTACTCTTATCTTTTTAGTTATGTATATTATGCATCTTTTCAGATTCAGGTTGACAAAATAAGTTGTATAAGTATCCCTTATTAAAACAATTCCAGAAATCTATTCCAGAAATCATTACTTTTCTTACATAATTTCTAATTTTTTAAAGGATAATGTCGACTTTATTTTTTTCTGTGTTGTTATGTTTGTCAGTACAATGAAACAATGGCGCAGAAACAATATTCTCTCAAAATTGCTAGTAAATTTCACAAACAAATGCAAAGAAATGGTAAGTAAATAATATAAAATTTTTAAGTTGAAAAACAGCATTTTCTTCAAATAGCATTTTCTTGTCAAATGTACTTTAATAATCCAATAAACTTTTAATCAAAAAATTTTATTTACAAATTCAAACATTTTTACAGTGTAGAGGATGATCATAAAGTTATTCTGATTTTGTATAGTAAACAACTGATTACTGAAAAATGGTTATTTGTATTTATACAGTTTCACTCAGAAATAAGTCACATTATGGCAATAAAAAGGGTTACAAACGCAGTTAATGGAAATTAACTATCCAAATTAATCGCTTTTTCAAAATGTAAAGTGCACCCATAGAATGCTGACCAGGTCCTGACTGATTGCATCTTGAATATTCTGTTGCTGACTCTTAATCACAGTATCTGAAGTCAGCGGGCACACACTTCAAAGACCTCAGGAGCGAAACATGTTTCTTCCCACTGAGAATTGTTCCAGCCCTTCTCGACGGCCATCTGCACATACCTACAGTGTCCAAAATTTCCCAGAATTACCCTTGTCTCCATGAACAGAGATTCAATCTGCATTTCCACATAACGCAAGCTGCATACAAGGGAAATATCCCAAAAACAGTCAACTTAATGTAATAGGACAGAAAGTCCATTTAAAGCACTTTCACCTGTCAGACATAGCCTTAATGTCTGTCCCCTGCCGCTACTTTAGCACAAGACACAACATGTCAACACAGAGGATCTGACTTACACACAGAGGAAGATCTGGTGTCACAGTGGATTCTGAAGAAACTCCATTACACAGAGATTCAAAAGTGACAGGTCATACAAAAATACCTGCATCGTTCCTAAAAAAAGGTTATATCACAGTTTTAGTCGTTTATTTTTTTTCCCCTGAGGTCAAATATGAAAAAATATATGAAAGCCACATAAAAAAACACTTTGGTAAATCATAATTATGAGATAAGTCTAAATTATGAGATATAAAATCATAATTGTGACATAAAAAGTCAATACTATGAGATAAAAAGTTAATATTAATGACATGTCAAATTTCTAAAACATTCAACCTTTCTGAAGGCATAATTATATTCTAATATATATATAAAAGTATTTTTATATGACTTGTGTCATAATTATGACAAAAAAGTCAAAATTATGAGATATAACTGTAACATAAAAAGTTGAAATTATGAGATAAAAAGTCAATATTTGTGGAAATGTCAAATTAAACTGTAAAAAGTTAATCCTCAACCTTTCTGAAGGAATTAGTACATCCCAAAATATATAAAAAGTCAAAATTATGAGATATGAAGTAATAATTGTGACATAAAACAGTAAAAATTATGAGATAAAAAGCCAGTATTTGTGAAAATGTCAAATTAAACTAAAATGTTCATCCTCAACCTTTCTGAAGTCAAAAGTACATCCCAAAATATACAGTATAAAAGTATTTTTATATTATGACTTATGTCTTAATTATGACATTGGTCAAAATTATGAGATAAAAAGTCAGAATTATTAGATAAAAACCTCATAATTATAGTGTCTGGAGCAATCAGAAACACAATTTGTTTTTGTTATATAACATTATATAATATTTGTTATATTGTTAAATAACGCCTCAAAAAGGCAGAACAGGCCTCTGGTTCCATGGCAATCAATGCTGATAACACTGGTTTTATTGTCCAAAGGAATGCGGGCAGAGCAACTCTCAATTTATTTACCCCTAGGAAAGACACACAATGCCATATAAATGGACTCTCATTCACAGACAAACCTTTCTTTGACCTTCCTATCACATATCCTCAGGTCATTGTGTATATTATTACTGTTCTTGTATATTGTCTTTTGTATCGTATACTGTTTTATGCATGCTTATGATAGAACCACTCGTTCACGTAACCTTACCTATACCATGTTTGGTCTCTATGAATTAGTCTTCGGATGATCTAATTGAGAGTGCATATTATATGTTTATACCTATGCAACATATTAGTGTTCTAAGAATCTTTAGTAGTCTTTGCATCAACATCCAATCCAGTTACATATGCAAATTACCATGTTCGGAGACAAAGAGTCGTAAACTTTCCCTCCAGATGGCCAAGTCACCATTGGCTCTTTGACTCCCGAGAGAAAGGCCTCACTTCAGTGACCCTTCTAGTCTCTTCACTCATCTCTCATCACCTTGCCATCTTCTGGTTGCTAAGTCCCAGACCTCGACACCGCTCAGTCTAAAGTTCTTTTAGATTCTGAGAAGATGAGGATGCTGAGCTAGAACTCTTCTAAGGACACCCTAAGATTGTGCCAGGCTGCGGCATCGTCTTTCCATTCACCAAGGATTTCAGCTGATGTCTCTCAAGCTCTGCGCTCTTCTCTCATCACCTTCATCTGGGACAAAACTCTCCCAATCACGACCAAGCCAGAATAACATCTTTTGGAGTTCATCACCCTTCAAACCCAGAAGAACATGAAGAACTCCAACACCACCAAACCTTCAAACCATCAA